GGGGGGGGGGGGGTGGTTTTTGGTTTTGGGTTTTTTTGTTTGTTTTTGTTAGGTTTTATAAAGCATTCTCTAAAGAAGTGCTTTCTTCCCATAAGAAAACTCTACAACTTGTCCTTATCTTGTTTCTTTTGATATATTTAATGCATCTTGGATTAAGCAGAACAGCAGTCTGGATGCCAAATTTGAAGTTATCTGCAACCCCAATATGCTGTGATTAAAAATTATAGAGCTGATGTCCTAATCTAGATTTTAATAGATAGTGTGATGAGAGGTCTAATTGTGTTACCAGCTTTGAATTAATTTTCATTATCTTTCTCTCTTTTAATTAATCATTTTTTCTCTCCTTCCTTTCTTGCACTGAGAGTCCAGTAAGATCTAATGGGCACCAAGGAAGTGGGGAGAGGGCAGAATAAATGGAACATAGGGTTGTAGAAGCAACAATTTCCTCAAATAACCAAGGCTGTTAGGAAGGATGGAATTCATCTTTTAAATTAATTACACACATTAAGAAAAAATTAAAAGGACTGGAGAGTGAGTGCCCTTTTGTGATCAGCCTAAACTTTATGAATTTTCTAATTTATACCTACCATTATTCAATCCATTCAAAATGAAACATATTTTCATATTTTAAACAGACTCTCAAAATGTGAGGCAGAGCTTATGTTTTTAAAAGTCTGGTGGTCATTGCTTCAGAAAAACTGGTGAAAGAGATGAACAGTTGTCTCAGACATGTCTTAGAAATAGAGATTAATGGAGACTGGTCTATGGATTGTGACAATCTCTTTCTGACTGAAATATGTTGAGGCTCACCCAAATTTCATAAAACAAACCAAGACACTTCCCAGGTGCTTAGGAGCATTTTAGCTCTGGTCCAATACTTTTGCCTTGGTCCAGATCCAAGCCTTAGTGCTACAGAGGAGAGCAAAACCCCAAAATTGAGTAGTGATGGTGATTTGAGATACTTTTTTATCTCTGCCGACAAACGGTTAAGATTTGAAGTATGAGATTTAATTATTTTCATTGCCTTCAGTTATCTACAGTACTAGAATGTGTTTTGAATCTGAAAAGTAGGGAGTGAAGAGGGTAATCTGCAATCTTGTGTTCTGATGTACCAGTCAGATGTCCCTTCATCACAACTGTATTAACTATTTAAAATTTCAGTTCACGCACTTCAATTTTTCAACTCTTTTCATACTGAAAAACCTATTTAAGCAATTAGAAAGAATAATGTTTTGTAGAAAGAATAGAAAGAAATCAGAAATCTGATACTCAAAGTGCTACACAGATGTTGAAGAATTCTGATTAAGTAAGAAGACATTCAACTGGGTCACTGTAAAGACAAGTAAGAAGAACACTCAGTGCAAAGTACCTTGGCAAGAGTTGAAGCACTGGCACAACTCCTCATCGCTGCAGTGAAGCTGAGATTTCAGAGCCAGTATCAATCAGGATTCAATCAGTAGCAAAAAAGATTGAGTCACTGAGACAGAGAACAGCATAATAATGTATGCCTAATAGGAAACCAGAAATAACAGTTTGACACTGGCCTAATTAATATCAAGTGTACATTTCTCTCTGCGTTTTCCAAGTTTAAAACAGTGTAAGCCAAAATGGCACTTCTGGCAAAAATTACTCGATCCAAACACAAATTCTACGAGCTCTGGAGTGTTCTGCAGGAAGTTGTGCAGGAGGTAAGCACCAAGCCAAAACACACTGAAAACAGTTATGTCTTCTCACACCAAGCTAAGAGGTGGAGATAGATGGTCACAACAGAGGGAAATGGCAGTGGGAGCATCTCTGGATAGAACAGTTTCATTAGTGTGTGAGTTGTTCAGGGCAGGCTTTGCAAAGCTGAGTCTATTGATATCTATCAAAACAAGTAAGTGAGTACACACTCCAATAAAGCTGAAAGGCTTTAGGTTTAAAGGGACACTGAATGTTGACTTCTGTTTAACAGAAACGTTTGAGAGAAAGCCCTACAGTAGAGTACAAAGCAGAGCAAATGGTCAAAATAAACGGGTTTGCTTCTGTGGGAAAGAGGGTTTAACTTCAGATGCAGTGTATTATCCTAGGACTAGCCCTGGCTGTGTGAAACCACAAGCACTTCTAAATTACAAGTTGTCCTATTCATGGCTGCTCCCTGCCCTTGTGTTTTCCTTGTCCACACCCCAGAGCCAAGGAGACAGTAAGTGAAAACAGAACATCTCCACTGGCAGAACAGCTGTAAGAAATAAAGGGATTCTTGCACTTTTGTATGAGCACAAAAACAATGGAGTGTTTAATCTTTTAAATACTTTATTAGGCTAGATGAGTTTCTCTTAATAAAGGAAGCCTCTCTCTCTCTGTGTCTCTTTCCCCCTTCCCCTAACAGTTCTGCAGGAAATGATGGAAGCCAAGCACCACTGTGCACTCTCTATAGTGCATAGGAAGTATGAGGGACTGTCTACACTGCTTTGATGTCTCCTTTATACAAACAGTCATGTTAATAAAGAATGTGTCCCCTTTTAACTATCCTGAAGCTGATTTCTCATCTGAGAGGTTGTAAATTATTTTTAGAGGTTAATTGTTATGCAAATCTGCTCATCATGGGGTTCCAGCACCCAGAGAAATGAGAAAACGTTCCCTTCCTCGGTGACATAGGCTCATAGAGGACACCTTTTCATTTCTAAAACCATTTGGAAAGGATTATGTGCCATATGTTTTCTCAAATGTAGCACACACTAGATGCAAGAAAGCTATATTAACATGGTGTTAAGGTTTCACAATTACAACATAATTGTATATTAATGTGCCTGAGTTTTGTATCCATATATTTCACAGTATGCATTTCAAAAAATAGCGCCCAATCCCATAAATTCTACTCAGAACAGCTAACACATAGGCAGGTAAAGCCCCCTGACATCTGCAAGTAAGCCTTTCAGAACCAAATCACAAACAATAAATATATTTTAAATGTGTTTGAAAAGAGCAAAGGGCATAGCAAACTCTGCAGGTCAAATAATGATTACTAGATTTCACAATGAGATTTTTATTTATACCTAAGGGAAAACAGGGGAATAATACATTAACTCCCTGTTAATTCCTCATTTTGTGTACTGTATGATCCACCTTACATTGCTACCTCCACTTAGCAGGTGAGCCAGTGGTAAATACCCCTTTGGTGTGAATTTGTATGAATGGACTGTGTAAATAACTAGTGGTGTGGATGGAGAAAGATTTCCCATAAACGACTTGTGCTGAGAGGTTGAATGTGAAAGTGCCACAGAACTGGAGTTCCAGAGATTGATGGTCCTGTTGAATCCACAAGCACTGATGAGCTCAAGACCCCAAGAGCCTCCACAAGTTCCCAGAGCCACTAATGCCCACTGGCATCAGAATGGGCTGTGTAACTCATTCACATTTCTATTCACAATAACAAATTTTGTAGTGGAACAGGCTGCCCACAGAGGCTGTGGTGTCCCATCCCCTCCCAACCTTAACCATTCTATGATTCTATAACTTTGAATAGTAAAGGATGCTACAGTAAATATTTCCTGGAATCTGCAGTGCCCTACCTTGGCCTTCTGTCAAGGGATTCTGCTGCACTACCCTTTATGTTGTCATGAGACAGACACATAAGCCTGATAATTGCTTTGGCAGTTCTTCATAGAGGTTTCCAGGGGTGCAGAATGCTTGCACCATTTAGGAACCCATAGGTTCCTGAGCAGCCAGGATCCTGAGATCTTGGTGGAGCACTGTAAAAATTAAAACTTACAGACTCTCTGCAGTGGGCAAAGCTAAGAGTGTATGAGGCCTGTAATTTTTGCTAGGACTTTTATGAGGAAAGTCTCTTTTCCATCAGGCAACAAGGTGAAGAGTAAGACAAGAATAACTGAGATTAAGGAAAACCACATTAGAGCAATTTTCAACACTGCCCTATGCTGCTTGTTCCTTCTAGCATTCATAATAGACCAATAGTTCCTTTTAAGTGTAGGAATAATGACCCAGGCAGTGGAATTTCTGAATTTTGATCAATAATTTTCTAAACTGGAGGTTAATACTCTGTCAAGTTTGAAAGGAGGCCCAAAAATTGTATTTCTTTAAATATAATGAAGCGTAGCTAGGTTAGGAACACAGATCCAAAGACTGTGGACATAGTTACATAGAAACAGAAGGTCATTCTGGGGCAGATTTGTGGTACTAATTTACAAAGTCCTGATTTATTGAAGTACCTTGGAAATACAAGAATAAATTTCACCAAATAAACCGCACCATTTAAAGTGGTGAAAGGTAACCTTTTTTCTCCAGCATCAGATAATGACAGCTTTTTGCCCCCTAAATTTTCATCAGCAAAAAAGTTGAAATCAACACCTATAAGTTTTAAGTGGCAATGAGTATGACTTTTGGCAAAAATACACTTACTTCAAATATTATTTTTTTCCTAGAGTATATGCAAAATGCTTTAAGTACTCAATTTATTCCTCCACCACCCTGTTCCAAAATCCAGTGTCTGGTGGGAAATTAATACCTTTGTGGTGCCAGTGCTGTGGTAAATTTCTGCAATTTAAAGACTTCTCTTAGCAGACCAAGAGTCCTACTTCCTGGACACTTCAAAGCATTCCTCTTTGAATATCTTACCTGACAGTCAGAGCAGGTATTGGAGGTGGGCAACAAATTCCTCTTTAAAAAATGGACACCACAATATTTGGCAGGGTCCAAACCAAGCTTGGTGACTTGCCAAAAAGGGAGGTACCTAAAGAACCCCAAGTAGTAGTTTTTCAAAATGTGGTCCATGATTAACACCTTTAAAATCTATACTTTTACCCTGCAATTTATGTAACAGTGGATTCTGACATCTACCTCTTTTTGAACTTGAAAATAATGAGTCCTTCAGTATTAAGTATTAATGTATTAAGCTGAATAATTTTTATTTAAAAGAAATTCACTTATTATTTTATAAAGCATGCAAATTGATATTTGAATGTTTTTTGGGAGCAGTAGGGAGCAGAGAAAACAAATAGTCCCTGGTTTTCCCAATTACTTTGAGAAGGACTAGGTGTCTGCTGAATAATGTCGTTACATTTTGAGCCACTGAAGTAGAGATGGTGTTTTAATATGATGAGTTCATCCTGAGAACAACACAAATTTAAATAAGAACCACAGAGCAGATCATCTGATCCAACCTCCCTGCTCAAGCAGGGTTATCCTAGAGCACAGGATTGCATCCAGACATTAATTAACTAAGTCAAGCAGTACTCTGGAGGTATTTACAGATGAAGAGTCCTTAGAAACAGACTCGTAATCTATAAAGAGAAGTAAGAAAACTACTTGACATTAACATCTGGATCTTGTTTCACAAGTTCCTCAGGAGGAAAGCACCAATAAAAGCAGTAACAACTGCAGAAGTGGTCAACAGGAAGAGTTTGAATGTGCTAGTTTCAGTGTATTTGTGTTAGATCTCACTAAAATGGATGAATGCTCCAGAGAGATATAAATCTGAGAGGTAGGAGTTGGACAGTGTCCTCTGTAAAAATGAATGTAATACATTTACCTCTAGGAACAGAGCTATTTGGTATCTCAAACGCAGGTGGAATTCTGGACTCCCTACAAAGTTGCCAGAATTCCATAGAGCCATGAGAAAAACCCCTACACATCCCTACACCCAGGGACTCCAGACCCATGCAGAGAGCTGTTTCTGCTAAAGCTGCAGCTGCCTAAGGTTATCAGGGCAGGCAATTAATTCCTTTATGTGCATTCTGCTAGCAATTTCAAAACTCCATCCTTCTCCTGTCTGTGAAACACTGACTTTGCACTACAGAGGATTTTTTGTTAAACAAGTCAGGAAATTGTCTCAAAATTCACATATTAGCAGTAACTTGGTTTCTCTCATGCATAAGGATGTTATATTATACTGTGACAGAGCTTTAGTCAGAAATTGTGTTGAAACTGAACTCTTAACATGACAAAAAGAAAAATGACAAATTTTTAGTGTTTTCCACATCATCTCTTTAGTTTTGGAAATTGCACAGAGCCACCTTGGTGTCCTTCCCTGTTTAGAATTGCCTGAGTTAATCTTCAATCCTATTGTAAATCTACTTTGTTTCCACCAGAGATTTTGTTGTTTTATAAAAGATAAGAGCAATTTTAAGCTCAGGGAGATTTTTGGGTGAGATAAGAGCATTCTAGTTATTGTCTGGGTCCTTTCCTATCTGGGCATTACAGAAATATTGGAATTGCAATGGGAACATTTTGACATCATAGGTATTTTAGATTAAGCCAAGAAGATCTTCAGCAACTGACTGATCTTTTGACTTTCAATAGATTGAGGTAAATAATTAAAAAAATGAGTTCAGAGTATGGAGATATATCTTCAGTAGGATATTTAGTTAATCTGGGAACATTAAATACAGATTTCCTGAATTTGTGCATGTTAAACATCAATTTGAACATCTCATGGTGCAATCTTAGACCAAATGCAATGTGTACAACTCTAAAAATAAAGGAGGAAACATTACAAAATATCTAGCAGAAAAGTTCAATAAGATATTAAAAAATATTTGGATGGATTGACTCCATCAAAAATCAGTTTTCCTAGAGGCAGAACATTTTTGTCAGGTGATTTCTTTATTGGAACAATTTCTATGACTTCTTGCTCTAAATTCTATTATTCAATCAGTAAAGTTGACAAGTAAAAATATTTCCCTTCATTGCCAATTTGGGACTTCTCTCTAGCATTCTGTATGCCAAATAGAACTGTAGATTTTCCTTATAAAACTACTTTCAGTTTTACAAATTAAGGGGGAAAGAATGAAGGAAACACAGCTTGTTTTAATAAAAATATTGACTCATGGTTTTTCAGAACAAAGTTGAAAGGGACATTTTCTCTGATCTTTCTCTCCTTCCTATTATTTTAAAAACATGGTTTCTCATTAAAACCCAAATGGTATCTTTGTGCATGTCACAGAAGACAAGCTTTTCTTGTGTAGAACATCCCAGCTACGTAATTCATTCCTGACAGAGCTCTACTGGCAAGAGGAAGGTGAATACTGGTTAAAAGAAGAGGTCTTACATCCAGCAGAGCACTTGTTTAAGTGCTTAATTTGTCAGTACTATTAATTGCATGTCTAAAGTTAAGTACATGCTTAAGTGGTACCTTGGTTTGGTGCCTGCCTCCATAGCTTTTGATCAGGAATGATTATTGCTAATTGGTGGTGCCTTGATTTGACAAAATTCACAATTTTCATCTGGAACCCAACACCACTATTGCAAAACCCATCCACATGCTCAGCAGAGAAGGCAGAGGAAGAATGACCATCACATTCATTCTTCATCTCCACCTGTAACAGCAAACAGAGGATTTGCAGTAATACTCTTCTCTGCATTTAGGCATTTACATCTACCTAGCTGTCCTGGATTCCCCTCATGGGCAATGGAGAGAATTAAGTACATATAGAGACCACCTCAGGGTACTTCAGAGAAGCACCAAATGGATGCCTGCTTCTCTCTACTGACTGTAGAGCCAGATGAGGGGATTGAAATTGAGCATCTTGGTTGCAGACAGAATAGAAGGGCAGCGGAGATGAATCCTTTACCACTCAGTGTCTGAACCACTATTCTGGGGCTTTACATGAGCAATATACTCAAGAAAAAAGACTCACAAAAGGTTAAATTCACATTCTATCAAACATTTTAAAAACCTGTTAGGTGTGGTTCTAGAAACCCTTAGTATTTCCATTTGTGTTTTCCCTAGCAATGGTGAATAGTTTGAATTCACACAAAATTCATGTTACCACTAATCTGTAGACTATTGCAGTTATTCTCTGAGCGCATTTAAATACTTCTCTGTAAAAAGTAAGAGTCATGGTCCCATCTGGTACAGATTAGGAATGCAGGTCAGCTGCCCCATGGCAAGTCCTCAGAACAATAATCACAATTTTCCCAACCGTGCACCTGAGGGTTGTTAGATCAGCACTTTCAACATGAAATACCTGTGCGAGATCAGCAAGAGGCTGCTCTGGGGTCCCTGATCCTCTGCCAAGGACTTGGAAGAAAATGAAAAAAGGCAGAAATCAGTGAAGAGATGAAGCATTTCTAATTGCTAAGATTGTTTTCCTACCTCACCAACAGGTACTCGTTTGCTTTTTAACATTTTCAGTGGAAAAGAATGCAGCTCCTGTCCCTCCTTTCCCATTTTCTTATTGATTTTACTGTTTAAATGTGCTGCATTGTAAACTACTTTGCATATTTAGTAAAACTCGCATTAACATCACAACTAAACTTTGGGGAAAGAGGAGCGCCTCTTTTGTTTGTTCAAAAATTCATGTTTTCTCTGGTGCTGAGGTTCCTTGAGCAAGAGGACATGTAGGCCATAATGAGGGAATTGTAGTGTGGCAATATGCGCATAACCAAGGTTTCCATATTGCCTACCTGGAACCATGCTGTCTTGCACTGTTATTTAGAGAATTTCACTGATTTTCTCCTCATCATTCTAGTTATAATCAACAAAAAGGCTGGGAAAGATCTTAAGGGCTCAACTTGAGACCCTGAGAGCTCCAACCCTTGTCCAGCTGAGCTTCCACCACATGCCCTGGCACTCATCCCTGCCCAGGCTGCACTGCTGCATCCCAGCCCTGCCCTGGTGACAGCCCTGCTATGACCTGTCTCCTTCCTTCTACAAGTCTTTCTTTTTCCATTCCCTTTTTTCTGCTCCTTTCTCACACTTCTATCAACCCCTGTCGTGGGGCCTGATTGAGAGAATCTCTTTGGAGGCACTCCCGAAGGGCAGAGGGATCCAGGAAAGCTGGACATTCCTCTAGGAGGAAATTTAAAGGCACAGGAGCAGGTTGTCTCCATGTGCCTAAAGATGGGCAGGGAATAAGACCTTATAAAGTGTGTGTCAAAGAGGGCAGCTGAAGTAGAAAAGCTTCAACTGTGCAATATTACACAACCTTATTAAATAATTAATGGGGTTTTTTCTTCAGTGATATCTTTGCCTTACACAAGATATGAATGTCTAAAGTTAAGGTTGTGTCAATGTTTGTATTTAAGGATATTTTGTTTCAATAACAGAATTATTTATTCAATGCTTTGTGTTGGAAGGAACCTTAAAGATCACCTAGTTCTACTGCTCTGCCCCATGATGGGCAGGGGCATCTTTCACCAGACCAGCTTGCTCAAAACCTCATTCAACCTTGCCTTGAATCCCTTCCAGGAAAGGGGCAGGACATACTGGAACAGTCTCAATAAAGTTGGGGTTTTTTTTAAGTTATTATCTCTAACTCTGTTAGAATGAAGTTTTTACTTTGAATTATGAGGGCCAAAGGTTATGGCTATGCCAGCACAAATGCACAAAATCATCAGGATGAGAAACTTCCCCATAATGGTGTGGCAATTTTTTAAGCTGTGTCCAATAGTAAGTACTGCAGTTAAGTACAAAAAACCAAGTCACCTTTATCAGCAAAGCCATCTGCTTTACCAGCTGTGTGGTAAGAAAGCAAGCTAAGGTGAAATTTTGTCCAAGCTCATTGGTGTACTGAAGTGGTAATGCACAATATTATTGAGGAGTGGGTGGTTTTGTTAGAGGCTGTGAGGAGCTGTGAAATACAAATCTTGGCAAGAATGTTGATGTTAAGAAACCCTCTTTTAACAGTCTGATGTTCAGTACTGCTAACTAGCAAAGCCTATCAGTTCTACTGTTCATAGCAGTGATAATTCTCTCTGCATGGAAACAGGATCATATGGAATCCTGGATAAAATTCTTTAAAACAATGCATAGGACAGAAATGACTAAGACCCGTGATACTTTTCAATTTAAATGCCATTATTCAAAATTATAAAAAAGAAAGAGAGAGGAGAGGAAACAAAAGTATTGCCAGACTTCTGCATTATTTCTACACTAAAATTGCTTGGGAGTATGAAAGGCGTTATTTGAAGTGCTTTTCTCAAGAAATACAGAAAAACACTAGGAAAGCTGAAAGAAATCATCAGATATCATGGTAGATTGACAGGAAATGCAGAGTGACAAGAAAAAAACAATAGTTTTCAGTTGTGTGTTTGGCCAAAATAGGTTTGGAATTGGGACTGAATAATTAATTTCTTGTTGGATTCCTCTTGTAGTCAAGGAAACAAGACTGTATTATATCCTTTATATTTTATAGTTTCATCAAGGAAATTTTAACTCCATAATCAATCTCTTTCTTTTATGGAAACAAGACCTCAAGTTTTGGCCAGCTGCACAGACCTTTAAATTCTTCTGCCATTATGCTTGCAGTGTAAAGCCCCCTGCTTGTTTCCAGGCATTCCAATGACTCACAGCCCTGCTGGCTGAAGCAGAAGGTCTGAAGACCTCAAGCTGAAGCTGCAGGGTTTAAGATTTGCCCAGCCATGCCTAAAGGGAGTCAGGCAGAACCTATTCACAATAAATAGGAGCACATAGGCTTTTTCAGCAGTTAGTTGACTTCAAATGCTTTCTCATCAGTTGGATATTCCCATGACAGCTCAGGGATCTCAACACCTGTGACAAGCATGGGATAACATGGGAATGCATCATCATGCAGTTTTTCTTTTAGGCGTTGTTGTAGCATGATAATGAAGTCCCCTGGTTATGTTGACAACTCCCAGTACATGGAGAGAAATAGGAAAAGGTTTTAGCTCTTTGTTATCTTGCCCTGGGTGGGATTCCCAAGGTAAAGGCTCCCTTCAGTCTCCCTTTTATTTCCTAGCAGAAGGCATCTGACAGCAGTCATTCACTTTTGGCCAGTACTGCCTCAAATAGAGCTTTTAATTTAGGGGACTCTTTTGGTTAATGTGTGTAAGGGTAAAAAGAACAAGTGCAAGTGTTTATTTTCATGTAAATATGGGAACTGTATGTAGCGAAATAGAGGGGGAGAAGTACAAGAATATAAGGCAGGTCCAAACCTGATCCCAAGGGCCTGACTCCAGTCCCTACAAAACTTCAGGACAAGTATAATTGTCATCACTTATATGAGAATGTACCCACCCTCAATTCCCCTTCCCCACTCTCAGAGACTTTTATCTTCAGTCAGTTGTCCTTTCTGTAAGTTTCTTTAAACTGTGATTGGATCATCTTCCTGATGCAGGGGGCCCCTTTGCCAGAGGAACTGATGTGGACAGAGACTCTATTTGGAAGAACAAATTATTACTAAATTAGCAAAAGACTAGATGGATTTGACTCTGTGGTAGAAATCCTGTTTTACTGGCAACTGTTTTTGAGGAAACTTCTATCAAAACATGTGTCAAGTGATTGATTTTATTTTCTGTCAAACGTAAGATTTTAAATTTATGGATATCATGATCTGTGTGAGTGTGTGTGTGTTTCTTTGAAAATTTGGATCTTAGCCGGCACACTGGGTACTCTTGACCTTAGAGATCCCCAATGTGCAGGCACCATTTCAACCAATTTTTGCAAACTGGCTTCCTTTTTTTTCCACTCTTTCTGTACATGTGGCCTTAGACACAATGCAGAAGCCCTACATGCAGCAGTGGGTGTACAGCTTTGCTTAGGAAGGACCAGAATCAGCCAAGACCAAGATTGGTGAGGAATTCCCTAGGGATGCCATGCTGATCCTATTAAAGTTTGTGGGATTTTTCATGTCTGTCCTTGGAAAGATCATTTGTACAGTTCTGCTTTAGCCCTTAAAGTGAGTCAGTAGGCACTACAATTAAAAACCAGATGTCAAATAGTATGGAAATAACACCTAAATATTCTGGGAAGTGTTTATTAGTATGTAATTAATCACAGGTTGTACTCCATAGGTGAGCTTTTGCTCTCAAGATAATAAATCCACAAACTAAGTGCAAATTTGACTTCCACTTGCCAGCTTTAAAATCTGATAAGCACATATATTCTCCTGATCCCTAATCCTCCCTTGCAGTTTTTATTTTAAGTGACAACCACAAAAACTGCTACAGTAGTTTTAATGAAGAAAAGTACAAGGCTTATACAACAAAAAACTGCAAAGTTGATTAATAAAATATGATCCTAGCAATTGCAGGTCCTATAATCTCCTAAATTAGCTTAGATGAACTGATTATTGTGGAAATGAAAATATATTTCTTGCCACTGCTACAACTTTGATCCAGATGCTGAGTATCCCCCTATTTTCCTTGTTTTGGCATTCTAAAAGCCAATGTTACTTGAATATTTAAGGTAGATATGCTATATCTCATACTGATATTAAATTCCTTGAACAGCAGGAATAAACTTTTTAGGTGACTTAGAATGGGAAATGTCTCATTTATCTGATACAGACAATAACAATTTCTCATATTCAAGCAGAATAAATGACCTATGGTATGAAAAATACCTAAAGTTAATTTGCTGTCATGCATTCTTTCTTGCTCAGTTGTGAAACATTTTTATCATGTACAGATACAGTTCTGCTTTCTGCTCTAAGTGAAAAATTTTCTTTCCAAAACATTTTGTTTACATCAGTGGCCCACAGAATGCCTGACTGAGAAAAAGCTCAAAACTCAGAGCTGGTGCTGATTGGTTTTGGTAACCAGTGATTTCCCTTTAGAAAGGTTGTTTTTTTGAATATTCAAAACTACACAGGAAGCATAGGGAATAGGTGATTCTCTGAGCGCTGGCTCATGTCATCACCCAAGAAAACAGCATGGAAAGCTGTTTGGGAATGTGAACTGTTTAGCAGAAAAGCTTTGCACTGGAAGATGCTGATAAGCTATCAGGGATGTAGAGACATGTAAGTATTGGTAACCTGACCATGCTGAGAAAGGAAGAGAGAATGGGTTTGGGAGAAAGTGTCAGCTGAAGTGGGCTTGGAAATGGGTGCAAAGAAATCACCTCCTGCTGCATGTGGATTGTTTTTGGAGCTGGTGCCTTGAGCTTTTAAGACAGTTGTGCATGCCAAGTCTGGTTACATTACCACATTGCCAACGTTATGACTGAATGAAATTGCACAGCACACCTGCTTGGGGCTTGTCTGCCTGAGGTAGAAGACAGTGCCAGAGCAAAGCTGGACATTGAACATGCTGTATTTGCTGCATCTTCGAATCGTTCCTTTCTGACTGTAAGGAATGTGATAATCTAGGGTAAAAAAAGGCATTTATCCAAAACAACAGCTCAGTGAACCCAGGCTTTCAAATGAAAGAAAGTATGTGCCCTGTGTACATTCCCCAGTCCAGCTGTTAACCGGCTGCATTATAACAACCTCCCCACCATTATCTATCCAGCACAAATGACATGGTCTTCAGTGCTGCAAATGATACCTGAGTTATGGGAATGTTTTACAGGTTTCTAAAGAGTCTTTCTTTGAATATCTTGTCCAACAACAAGCATCTCTTTTTCAGGGATTAGTCTGTCCCTAATCCTGAGGGAGTATCAACTGGTGCAGTTCTTGGGTCCTGTGGAGTCAGCTGTACATCAGGAAGAGCTGTGAACTGAGCTCTAGGCTGGAAGATACCTTCCCACTGACTGCTTTGTAAACTACCACTCACATCAAACATGTTACAGCAAAAACAACCATGAAAAGTGTATCTACTATTAGTTCTCTCCCTGTTCATCTTGCTGGCATTTAAAGATCAAGGTTTATTCTAGATGTAGGTTCCCATTGCTGACACAATTAGCTGTGTTTGTAACAACCATTAGGAAGACATGTGGCCAGTAGGAGGTGACGAGTGAACAGGTTTTCGTCAGCCAAATCTTATCCTTTCTCTCCCATGCTGAGTCTGCATTACAAATTAAGAAAAAACCCTTGTGTTCTGATTCCTATTTTTTCCTTTTTCTCCCTTTAAACTAGCCTATTCAGTACTTTTCCCTGGAAAACCAATGTAATTTCTCAACAGTCTTCTGGCATACTCCCTTTTACTTCCTTTTGAGTCAGTCATAGAGTCTATTTAAAAAATGGAGGATCTTAAAAAATGGAACACTTCTGACATATGTGACAAGAGGAATTTACATTTCTGTGGCAGTGTTGGTATACCTATCTCTCCAACATCCTGCTTATCTCAGTCAAACAATAGCAAGTGGATTTTTTAACTTATATATTAGGACCTGCTTCTGTTGATAAATTGTATATGCACCAATGCTCACAATTCAAATAAGCAGGTGACAGAAACAACAGCAAACTCTCAGTCTTTGACAGCTTGTTTCTTCACCATCACCACTGGTTTCCCAAAGGGGAAAACACAAACCATTTTTGCTGCAGCTCTACTCAAGGGTTAAATTAACATGTGCTTCCAGATACAGAATTCTCCCTGAGGGGGAAGTATGTACAAAAATGAAACAACACAAATATCCACTATTGTAAAATTCTCAAAGGCAGATGTGTACAAAAAACTCTCCATGTTCTCCACTAACATTAGACAGCCCTGGAATCTCTCCAAGCACATTTAGATGAATAGAACATTTAAAATTAGGATTTTAAAACAATTAAATAAAAGACATACTTTGGAGTATGCTTTGCTTTGCTGTTCATACCCCCTTGCCTGCTTCTGTTAGAATAATAAATACACATCCCAGATGACAGGCTGCTGAAGATATTGTCCAGCAGGGACATCTAGCTTCTTCCCAGAGCCTGTAAAGAATTGTTTCAGTAACTTTGAAGATGTCTTTTTGACTGTAACATAAATAAGTGGTTGCAGAGGTCTAAGCAATAATATGTCCTGTGTCAAACACTGCTTTTTTTAAACTAGTTGATATCATTATTTTTTTATCTGAGCCTCAGATACAAAGCAACATTTCAGGAAGAAAATCTACAGAAACACCCCAAAATGTCTCATGTGTAGTTTGGAATTTTTCTTACTCCGGAAATGATCACAGTAAAGAATCTGATAAGAAAATGGAGTATGTGTTCAAATAGAGGCTTTGCAGTTTAAGCCTTGGGAGCTTGGCCATTTTAGCTGTCAGTTTGAACAAAGGTAGAAGGGCAATAAGGGGCAGACTGAGCTTTACCCACCTGTACCTGCATTTGCAATCAGAGTCGCTTGAGAAGAGGAGGTCAGCCACAGATCCATTCAGGACATTCAAGCCTTGCCTTTTCCTTAGACACAGGCTTGCCCCAGCCTTTTGACACAACTCACTCCAGCACTGGCAAGTTCAGGACCATGCAAGCAGATTGGTTTGGTTTGCCTGACTGTGCCATGGAAATGTTGTGGAATGAGTACAACCAGATATTTGTCATTGCTATGCAGGGTGCTGTTACTAGGAACATTGTTTTCCTTCTGTAAGTCCTCCTAGGCTCAGGCCTCCTCATGAAGTCCATGTAACCAGCCTAATGGGGAAGTTTAGAGTTTTTCATGTCTGGATGAGGAAAGCCAGAGGGGGAAAAAAAAAATAAAAAAATTAAACATCTTTATAATCATGCATTTTCCTCTTTCTTCACTTCACTGAACACAAGATTTATAGTTCATGATTCCTTTGTTTTTGTGCCCTTATCATGGTCTCTTTTTGAACCCCTAAGCTCTTTAGACACTAAAGATAATCAATTCTCACACTCAGTACTTGAAATTTAAACAAATATTCAGCAAACTGAAATTCAAAACCACAGCTTTCAATGATTTGTCTTGCAGACCCCACTTGTCTTTCCCATTTCTGATCCAAGGAAAGTCCCATACTTCTTGGAGACCATCTCCAGGAGACAGCATAATCAGGCACCCACTCGAAGTCAGCTGAAACCTTTCCATCAACACTAAAGATGCAAACTCCACTGCCTAGGGCCTGGTTGTGTTTTGTGTCACTTATGTGATCACTGCCTATGACTGGAGAGCACAACCCCTTGGTGTGAGGGAAGGATGGCCCCAGGAGCACGTGGCAGAGCAGGGTGCCTGTGGGTCTGCTGCTCTCACAGGTTTCACAGGCAGCCTGCAGAAAGCGAGCACCTTCCTGAAGGATAGCTTGCTCAGAAATGTCCTGCTGTGTCCGAATGACAGTGCCACACTAACAGGTACTACATGAACAGGTATGGCATGCAGCCACCCATTTTGCTCCAGCCACAGCCTCTAGCCAGATCCAGGGCTGTGCTTCCAGGTTTCTCTGCACAGGCAGCTCACATGTGCTACAGCTAAATAGACCAGAGGTGTGAAAATGGACAGGAAAGCTCTGAGTGGAGACCAAGCTAGTAGCCCCACATTCATCAGCTGGTGAGCATGAGATGGCACAATTTTCTCCACTGACAGTATAAAAGGAAATGGCATTCCATTCAGTCAGTAGTTTGTATATCCCAGGAGTCCCATAATAATCTCCATGTCATAGTCTGCATGCAAAAATGTGGTTCCATGGAGTGGAAGAAGTTAAAAAGTCAATGTATTTTATGGCCCTACAAGGTGCTTATAGATGAATTCTGCCTTTTCCAGACTCAATCAGTGAGGCCACACATGGGGGAAACTGGATTTTCTCGCTGAGTGTAGGACTGCCGTTATTATCATATTTATCATTAGCAGCGAGAGCACACATGGTGCAGCAGCGCTTCATCCATATTCATGCTTTATGTGTTGGTGCCCTGCAAGCAGGAAGCTCAAAGCCACTGTCCCACTGTACTATTATTACTTCATTCCTAGACATTGATTTTTGTTCTGTCCCTTCAAGGCGTTTTACAAAGAAGTCACTATCGTGATCCATATTTTCTTAAAGCACAAGAGCTCCTGCAGCTTGAGAGTCCTCCCTTTTCTCCTTCCAGGACTGCCTTGCTCTGCACATTTGGGATGGCTATGTTTTCTCTCTCCCTGAGCAAAGCACTGCAACAAGGACAAGGTGATCAGGCAGGGTATCTCCCTGCTGCCAACCTGCACCCATTATATTCAATGAAAAATAAATGGCAAGGAAATGAACCATCCTGGTGTTATCGGTCATGCAGCACCACTGCTGTTTTCAGAGACTGCACCTTTCTGAACTCATCTGGGGGCTCTTCAGCTGCAAAGCCAATGACCTCATTTGTCACCTCACAAATGCCTCCCTCCTGTGAGCCTTGTGGAGAATGTACATCTTTGTTTAACAGGATATAGAGCTTTGAAGAACGAGGAAAAGATTACTGATAGTGATGTGAACTCAGAGCAGGCATAAGTCACCTTTCCAGGAGATCTCAGCTCTGATTAAAACACAGTTGAAAAATGTGCATCTCCCAAGAATTCCCCTTGTAGCATTCCCTGTTAGATTTTCCAGATTACATCAGTGCATGACAGACTAGGAAAGAAATATGACTACAATTTTGAACATAGAAACAATTCTTAAAAATAATGATTTTTTGAGTCTTAGTAGTAAGATCATAAACCTTTCCTGCTTTGTTAGAAGGGGCACCAATTTGTTTAATGATATTAAAAATTTCTACAGCCTGAGTGATACAAGACACCACAAGAAATGACACAGCAAACTTTGGCTATCTCAAAATCCCATTGTTGATGAAAGTAGATCAGAGATAGCTAAGATGAGACTAACTGATGAAAAAGAATGAAGATTTATGATATAATTATTTTTTTTTTTTAATCTGAACTTTAGGTGCAGCATTGCTTATTTAAAAAAAAAATTAGAAGCCATTCTTTTTATGTTCCTATGCAAGTAGAACAGTGAGAGTGAATTCTATTTTGAGAATATGATGCTGCTCAGATCTCAGTTTGAGCAAGAGGTCAGAAAAAAAAAGGATTCACAGAGATCAGACCATAATCTGATCTGTTTTGCATAAGAATAAAAAAACCCAATATTCAAAGAAGAGAAAAAAAAACATTTTGAGACTTTGTTGACAAACGGTCAGAACAGTTTCTTAAAACAAGTCTGGCAGTACTCTCTGAAAGCTTCTGTGTCACTAATAAGAATGTCACACCTGAAGGAGCATTGTACTATTTTGTAACCTACCATATGATATCTGGTGTCCAACCACAGGTTAAATGCACACAATAAAATTCTCTTTCCTCCCACTGCCAGTTCTGTCACTTACTACACAAAAAGTCTGCAAAAATACAATATGACTCAGAATATGTAGGCTGTGGCCAGGCAGAGAAAGTTCATTCAAAATTGATTTTCTTTCAGGCATCCCTGATATTCCCTGTTTCAATTGCTCACCTACTGTACAGTTGAGTGAGCACTTAAGGAAGTTGCAAAGCGATGCAGCCTGTCTGGGACATGAAGGAATGTGGAGCAGGATAATCACAACATCATCAACCCAATTCTCCAAGGTAGCTGGCCAATAATACTGTTCTAATTGAATAACTTATCCGCAGCTATTTCCCCCGGGAGAGCCTATGGCTTCAGCTCTCTGTGTAGGCAGATGGTACAGCATACACAATGAAACCTGTAATTTTCTCTCACTGCTGAGCATGTTAACAGTGAGCTGTTTTCCCAGTACTGCTAGCCCATTAATATTTTATTTTAACTGGTTTTCTCCAAGTTATTATGCACCATGCAGCAGAGAATGGAGAAACCAATGATACATTTCATATTATTTTTACAGCTAGCTCACTAAGCTACCCCCTGCTCATTAAGGCTTCTGCTCTGCTAATCAACAATTGTATATGTCATCATCAGGTATATGCTGAAATGAAAGTGTCATAATTAAAAACAAAGGTGCATGAGTCACCGGAGCCCTGAATTACTAACTAG